CCCGGGGCCCGGCCCCTCCCGCAGCAAGGTACGTTGTCCTCCGCGCCATACGCGGGGCATGCTGGGGGGTGAAGTCCCCAGCCCGCCTTCGGCCGCCGCGCGGGGCGTGTCGGGACGGCGCGGGGGCAACATGGCGGCGGGGGGGCTGCGGGGTGAGTGCGGGGCGGGGTGCCCCGGGATAGGGCTCCCCCCACCAAACTGCATGAAACACTCATGGGGGGCACTGCGCATGCGCACTAATGCGGGCCGCGACTATCCGCGTTTCTCCTGCGATAGCTTCTCTCGGGAGAGGCCGGCCCTGTGCCTACGCACCGCCGGATCGGGGCTCTGCAGGGCCCACCTCCTACCTCAGTTTCCCCCGCTGCAGCAAGGCGCTGCCCCGCTTTGCCTGGGCCAGGCCCAGGTCAGACCAGGTGGGGAGGGGGCTGGGGGTCCCGTCCAGCACAGCCGTGTCTGCCGTGCATCCTGCCCTCGGCGCCGCTCAGCGCTTATCACGCGATTCGCCCGTCCGCAGCATCACGTATGTAATGTGTGCCGCCCAGCTCTGGGGTGTTACACGTGTCCAGGCAGTGACGGCCTGGGGCCCGTCTACATTTATTGCGCGATTCACCAGTCAATTTGTGTAACAAATGTAAGGTGCGGCGGGGGCCTCAACTCCCAGCAGGGAGCTGTGGGGTGGCATCCTCCCCCCCGACAACTGCCCTACTGCCTCCGGTGTGGCAGCGCTGTAATGCGGGTTCAATGTTACGTGTGCCCCTGACCCTGCTCCCCCCTTGCGCAGGCTTCTTCTCCGCGGCGGCGCGCCGCACCGGTGTCCGCACATCCCAGCCCCGCTGCTCACAGGCTTCAGCAGAGATGCAGCCCAGGCCGGACCCCGCAGGGCCGCCACCCATCGAGTACATCCCCACGCGCAAGGCCAAGAACCCCATGCGCGCCGTGGGGGTGGCCTGGTGAGTGCCCGCCGCCACGGGGTCTCCAGCTGCGCGGGTCAGCCCCAGCACATGACACGCAGACGGGGGCTGCGGGTGGGGAGCGAGGGGCACCGCAGGCACTAACCACCGCCTCGGTCCCCCCAGGGCCATCGGCTTCCCCTCGGGCATCCTCCTCTTCCTCTTCACCAAGCACAAGATCGACCACAACCGCGTCGAGCAGCTCCAGAGCCTCCAGAACATGAAGAAGGCCAACGTGGGGCCCGAGGCGGAGCAGCAGTACCGGGGGGTGCTGCACGGGGCGGGGCGCACCTAGCCGGGTCCCGCGGGGCCTGAATAAACCTGAAGCAGCACGAACCCTGCCCGTGTGTGTGCACTGAGCGGGGTGCAGTGGTCTGTGCCCCCACCCCAGGGGCCTGATGCCCACCCCGTCCCCGCGAGGGCAGTCACAGGCACAGGCGGCGGGTGTCAGACGGGCACTTTATTGGTAGCATCTTTGGTGTCGGCGAAGCAGGCTCAGCCCCTGCCTGGCGCTGTGGGGGGTCCCGGGCAGGGCTGGCCATGGGGTGCCAGGTGCAGCAAGCAGAGCCCCCCCACCTTTGCTGGGGGCCCCTCCACCCTCCCCCACACCGTGCCGCCATGTTGGTGCATGCACCGTTAAGGCACAGAGCAGCCCCGGGGCGGGAGGGGGAGAGACACGGGTACAGCCACGTGGCCGGAGCACGTGCGTGTGCCCACGTGTCAGCCAGCGTCCCACGTGCGCCCCGCGCAGCACCTCCCATCCCGGGCTGGTGAGGCCGGGACGCACCCAGGCCCTGGGGAGGGGCGGGGGCAATAAGGCAAGGGCCCGCCTCCCCCTCCCATGCATCTGCGTGCCCGGGGGCGGCACGGAGCCGGCCAGCGCGGGCGGGACACGGGCTCTATCTGCGGCCGACCAGCTGCAGCACAGAGGTAAAGATGGACATGATGTCGGTGTAGATGCGCAGCGCGCCGTACACGTACTCCTCCGCGCCCAACGCCTGCTTCCGGTTGCCCAGCACCAGCTGCGTGTCGTAGGCCAGGAACTGCCGGGGGGGGAGAGGGGACAGGCGGTCAGGGCC